GACAAAACACCATGATTTGTGTGTTTTCGTGTTTTCACATAGTTAACTATGTCACCATTACTATTTCTTGTATGTGTTTAATATATTAGTCAAAAACAAAAGTTAAGGGCTGGAGAAATAGATCAAGAGTAGACACTTGCCTAGTATCTGCAAAGCTCCATGTTAGAACCCCAGAACTGAAAAAAGGTAATAAAATAAACTTCAAAAATTAAAAGTAGGGTCTGGAAAGATGGCTTAATGCTAAGAATACTTGATGCTCTTATAGAGGACTAAGTTCTGTTTCCAGTACCCACATGGTAGTTCCTATAACTCCAGGTCTAGGGGCTCCAAAGTCCTCTCCCAGACCAGACTTTGTGGGTACCTGTACACATGTGGTACATATATATACAAGCAGGTAAACATATATAGCATAAGTAAGAATTAATTGATCAATTAGTTAAAATATTCAATCAACAAGAGTGTGAATGAATACACTCCTTAGTTTTGTAAATCTATGGAAAGTGTTAAAATTTCCTTTGGTTGTTTTACATCCCAAAGTGGGAGGGGGAAGAGGGCGAAGGCAAAAAGGACTTCTCCTTTGGGCTTGACTCCTCCCTCATTCTGGAGCCTTTCTGTTCTTAAGAACAAGATGATTATTTTCATCCGTGGTCACTCACGTTCTACGGAGAACACTTCTATGCAATAGCACAAGGAGACAAAAGAGCCATCGAAATCATTAAGTTTGGAAGAGGCAAGCTCAGAATGGTTCTTCTTAAAGATGCTGGATCTCCTGGTAAATGTATCTCATTTATATTTATTCTTTAGTGGAGTTTAGAGATGTTCTGACAGCCAGTGAATGTGATTGGCACCGGAAAGCAAGGGAATATAAAGGGGCATCCTATGGAAGTGCTTCTCAGCCATAGATCCCAAACTGAAATAGTAAAGATGGAAGCATTGTTTTTACTGATTTCATAAAATTGATGAGGTGAAAAGTCAAGTCAGGGCCTGAAAGTAAGCAGAACTACCCTGAGTATAAAAACAGGAGTTGTCCGGAGAGAGAAAGTGTGGGAATCGATAATGATTAGAACTTGATTTCTGACTTTGGAGAACTTTGCAAGTTTAGAGAACCAACTCAGTGCAAAATTCTGCTTCTTGATGTGCATGGGCCAGCTAAAATCATTCCTCAGTTTTATATGAGTGCTGAAGTGTGGTCACTATGGAGCAGAGAGCTGCAACAGGACTAAACATGTTTGATGCTATGTGTGGAGAAGAAAGGTTAACTTTTGGGTATTTGGGATGCAAAGTAGACTGTCACACTGTAGAGAATGTTATTTAGCAAATACTGTTGGTGGAACTGTCATGACATTAGAAATATCATCTGTTCTCTCAGGAAACTTACTGTCTAACTGTGTGGACCAGGTAGACACGGAGGTGGAGGTGTGAATCAGTGGAGGTGTGAATCATTGATGCTGAGAAGGCAGAGGGACAGAAGTTCAGAACCCTGTCCTGCGATGTACAGAGAGCATGTTCCACATCCAGTTTCATGGATGCCTCTTTTAGCC